AACGGCGGGAGTATATGCTAGGTATTATTATACAAGTTATTGATAAAAGCACCAAAATTAAATTGTATAGCTAAATTAAATAGCCCCCACATACATGTTGTGAGAAATCAATCAAGTTGATATAAAGTTGTTAGAGGTCTAACGAGATATAAGTAATGGGTCTACTGGCTTTATTAAAAATTAAGATGAGATATGTTGATTTTTTTATGATAAATATGTTTTTTTTAGTGGAGGCCTCAAAATAGAAGTGGGTCCGGAATGCAAATTTCTATGTTAGCATTTAAATATATTTAATATAGATAATAAAATATTGATTTCACTAAAAAATAATAGTTCAAACAGATCATAAGTTGAATATGTGATTTAAAAGGGTATAACTATTTTATTTATATTGTTCCTATAAGTACTAGTAAGAGGAGAAAGAGAAGAAAATGGATAGTGGGGCAGCTCGCTAGACTAGCTAATATGTGGAGGTCCCATTTGGGGTTTTTCTCCCCATAAAGATTATTTTAATTTCAACTATTATAAATATAAAAATAAGATAAATGGAACAATGCACACCGCACGGGGACATGGAGGGCAGGATGTTTTTCTTTGAAGAAAATGATTGATCTAATGACCTAAAATAATATGTTGGATGTTTAAGTCGAAACCGACAGTGAGATGTTTTTTTTCTCGTAATTTTGTACGATTTTTTTTAACTTAAGAGAGACCCGTAGTGGCTTAGAAATATTTATAGGATGTTTAAAGTACTTAAAATCTTTAACATTGCAGGGGCGGGGAGGGACGAAAGGAGGTTTGACAGTTTTTTTAAATAAAAATCTAATAACAGCCTAAATAATATGTCCATCAATTTAAGTCGAAACCAGTGATTGGATGTTTTGTTCTTAATTTTTTATGATTTTTCTAATTTATAAGTGTCATAGAGTGGTTTAGAAACATTTATAAGGATGGTTAATGGGCTTTAACGCCGCATGGGAGCGTGGAAGGAGGTTTGGGATGTTTTTCTTAAGAAAAAGATATATCTTATAAGCTAAAATAATGTAAATCGATGGTCGAATGTTTCATTCTTTTTAGATTTTCTCTGATGAAGAGTGCTATATACTACCACCGTCCAAAAAGGACCGTAGTTTTGTATTGTTTATGTGTAACATTTGACCGTCATAATTTGTTATGATTAGTATATTTGTTGTTATTAAATGATAAAACATGAATAGTACTTTATGTATGACTAATTCTTTTTAATTTTATTATAATTTTTTTAAATAAGACGGACAGACAGGCATTGGACACGGAAATTTAAAAATGCATTTAAAATAGGACATATGTAGAAGATATTTTAAAAATATTTATATGATATTTAATAGAATATTTATTAGGAGAAGATAGAGGAAGAGCTGGCTAGATCTAGGCTGATGGTCTTTTTAGGCCTGTAAAAAAGTTGTTAATTTTATGTGGGGATTAAGAAAAGAAGAAAAAAGAAATGGAGGTCTGATGGATGGTAGGTACATTGCGGATGGATCGTATGTACGCTTCCGGATGGATATTACGTACGGTGCGGGGGAATGGACGGAGGGAGATTTTGTTTTCCCGTACAATCAAAATCAATAGGTCCACTAATTTAAATAAAAATCGATGGTCTTATTATAGTGATATGTAGCGACTCGAGAGTGTTTACATGATGCTACGACATGATAGTCGATAGATTAGGAGCGTTTATAGGGGGTTGGAGGAGTAGCAGCAATGGTGATGTGGCGCCGAGGGTTGTGGCGGTGGCCACTAACCCTAGGCCGGCGCCCGCCATGGTGATGGTGGCAGTGGTGTGGTGGCCACTCCTTGAACGATGGAGAAGGTGGTGCAGACGGCGGTCTCGGTCATGGCGAGGAAGACCAAGAACGGCGTCGATCCGCCAAGAACGGCATCGATCAAGTAATTAAAGGTAAACATCTCGTACCTTTCCTGTTGATTCTTTCACTTTTCCTTAAGATAAAAAATGATGTAGTTTCTTCCTTCTTTCACTTCGTGATCTCCTTCGCGAGAGCGAAAGTGCTGATAACGTATTGTGAATAGAATTGATTGAGCGAGAGAGAAATTTTAACACAAGAATGTAGAGGGAATGAATGAGCGGATTCTTTATTGATAACAGTTACAATATACAGGGGGGAGAGAGGCGGCAACTGGAGGCGCGATGGTTTGGGAACCATCGCGTCCGTTGCTAGAATCGCCGTGAGGCGAGAAGAGGTGTGGGGCACGACCAACCGTCGTGTCCCTGAGTTGGTTGTTACTCTATCCATATATATGGATGAGATCACCCAAATATTTCATAACAGATGGAAAGAGGTGGCTTTGGTTGTTCTCTTCTTGTGATAAATCTAATGGTGTAAAATAATGGGTTCACCAATTTAAATGAAAAATCAACGGTCGGATGTTTTGCCTTTTTCTAGAATTTCTAGGATTTTTTCTATTTTATTAGAGCGCCGCGTGGCGGCTTGACAGCATTTATTGAAAGTTTGATGAACTTTTAGTAGATAACTAGGAAGGTAGCCCGCGCATACATCGTAGAATGTGTTGCTTAGATAAATTTTTAACCTGTTTGTGAGCTTTTTTTTATAATATTTAATGTTCTTTTAAGCAATTATCTATAATCTTCTTCATCACTTAAAATATGACATATTTAGTTTGTTCGGAAAACATATCTAACAAATTAAATGTAAATTAAAAGCTATGTTTTCTCTATCAAATCATAAAAGACTATGATTGCTGACAAATGTGTTTTATTTGTACCATTTAGCTAGCCCTCCTTTTATTTGGTTTATATTGATGCACTTTAATTATTACTTACGTATGAATAAGACAGAGGAGATATACATACATCCTAGGTCTCGATTCCCTATGATATGTGTGATCCATTCTACTTTTAAAAAGAAAAATCTAATCAACTTGACCCTTAAAAATTAAATTAATAGTTATAAATATAACTTCTAAATAAACTATATACTATAATCTTAGTATTTTTGCTTATACTTGCAATAATATGTGGAGAAAAATCATAATACCGTGATGTATGATAGAGAAAAATCATTAATATCTAAGCACTTAATAAAAAATGATGCAATGGTTATGGCAATGGTTGTTTCAATTTAAGTACAAGAATGAAGCAAAATAAATAATAACATTTTTTCCACTTAGTTCAATTAATGCAGTTCATATTGGCATTTTTTTCTATTTTCTGTTTTGTTTTATACAATTCTTATTTTATGTTCAAACTCTGTGATATGTTAAATAGTGATGGAGCTTTACACATTTTATGTCAATGTTTTTAAAAAATAAATGAGCTACCTTTTGTATAAGCATGTAAGACCGATGTAAGACCGATATAGCTTCTCACTATTAATTGAATATAACATGAGACTATACTAAATGCATGAATTCGTAGAGTCCAATATGATTGCATAGTGTGGGAAACATCCTATCTGTGAATGTTTTATGTAGAGCGTGCGAGGCTTCATATAGCCTAGCATGAATACACATGGAGGGCTAAATATAATTGTGCACACATTTTTTAATGTGATTTATTATGAATACCTGCTTGAATATCTACAGATATACCAAAGTGCATTAAACACCATCTAAAATCAATTAGATGGTATCCTAAAAAAATCTATTAGATTGTTTAGAGCGCTTTCGTTACTCGGATTATTTGACCGCATTAATTTCAGAAAACATGAAGTAATTGGATTTTTTTTTCTACTACTAAAGCCACTGGATTTTTTTATGTAGTGACTTGGACTATTTGTATTTGAGTTAAAGCTTTTTTTTTAATTTAGCTATTCATGTGTGCAAAACAACGTATGGTGGCGCCACTTGTATTGTTGAATTATTTCATAATTCTTTTATGGCAATTCGGATGACATGTAAAAGGCCAATGGTATATGTCCCACCGATTTTTTATATTTGATATATTTTTCTTAGGCATTGTATATTTAATTTAGTTTTTATGTTTACAAAATAATATATGATGGTGCATCCTATGTTGCTGAATTATTTCATAGTTATTTTATTATTTGGACGATATGTAAAAGGGCAGGGATGTTGTCCGTCAAAAAAATATTGTTTTATACTTGGATGTATAATGTCGTAATTTGTGTTGATAATTATTTATAGTATTTCGTTACTATTTGGATGACCTGCAAAGTGCACGGGTCATTGTTCCCAAATTTCATATTTCTTATATAGCAAAATATAGGCATATGCTTGCATTTCTTTTCATTATAATACAATAAAAGTTAGATTAGACATCGCGCATGTAGCTTATAATTATTGATTATTTCACTTTGATAGCTTATGATTAATGAAGAGCATAGAGTTCGGGCCAAAGAGAGATGGTGCAGATGAGCGAGGGAGGTGAAGGTGACTTTCTTTTTCTATTTTCCTAAATGATTTAAGTGAAATCTAATGATCGGGTGACTTTTTTCTCAAATTTCTCTTTTTTCCCCTAATTTTCAAGACATGATATGTTTCTAGTGCTTAAAAATAATAGGCCATCGATTTAAGTAGAAACTAACGATGCTCAAATTTCTAAGAAGTATTTTCTAGTTTTAAAATATCACACGTGGTGACTTAATAGAATGGTCGATAAATCTTTATTGTGTAGAATGATTTAAGATGACACTAATATTAATGTTTCGTGGTTGTTTGGTTGTTGCCGGTATGTTCAAATAATGTATTTTAACTTTTATATAGCAAAATAGTGATATATATGTTGATTTAATTAATTAATTACAAATAAATTAAATTACTGTTCAAATAAATTAAAAATCGGATGCTGTTTTGTTGCGATCTGTTCAAATAATGTATTTTAGTTTTTTAGATAGTAAAGATATGGATCTTAAATTATTAGTTGTTTTTCCAATAAAAATTAGTTAAAATAAGTGTTGGGAGAGTGAGGAGGGAGGAAAATGTACGTACGCACGTATGGCTGGAGGGGTGGGAGGAGAGTTTGTTTCCTTTTGATATATTTAATTAGTTTTGTGTTATCTATAATAGATCTAATGACATAAATAATAGACCCACGGATTTAAGTGAAAATCAATGGTGGTATGTTTTTAGAAATTTTTGATATTTTTTAATTTACTAAAACGCCCGTGGCGGATTGAGAGTGTTTGAAGGATGTCCATGTAGTGGCTTGAGAACGTTTGTAGGAAGTTTAATAGACTTTTAGTATATAATAGAAGATAGATAGATAGATAGATAGATAGATAGATAGATGGATGGATGCATTTCCATGACGTTTTATCTGAAATGCACTGTTACTGTTCAAACTGGGAATGATCCGGTGTTTCTGTTCAATGTTCCGGTCAGGGTTTACACTTTCGATCTCGGTGGAAACTTTGGTGATTTCGGTAGAAACTTCGGTGATTTCGGTGGAAACTTCGGTGATTTCAGGATTTTTCAGCACTTTTTGGAAAGAAATTTTCTGAAATTTTGATAGTTTTTTACTGAATTTGAATAAACTTTGACCAACTCCAACAAAAATTTGAGAAAACATGAATATTTCGGTCAATATATTGATTTGCCGGTGGGGTCCGAAATTTTGAACTGAATTTGCGATTACTGGTTCTGGTTTACTGTTCATATCCAAACATCTTGATCAATCTTTCAAAACACCGAACGTCCAACCCCAAACTGTTAACAACGTTAGCCAATTATTTATCACTATGATTTTGCATTTCTTTTGTAGAGTCTAAGGCATTGTTATCTATATCCATTTTTCAGAAATATATATATGTTCCAGTAACGTTTTATCTGAAGAACATGCTTCTGAAAATCTCAACTATATTTGTTGGCAATCTCCATGAGTAATTCTGAGAGCTCCCTCGCCTTTGAGAACATGGGCATATGATCAGCTCCCTGCAACGCCCTCACCTCCGTGCCAGGGTTCCACGACACCATCAGCCGCTGGATCTCCGCCGGCTTCCACTCGTCCTCCTCTGCCACGACGTACACTCGCCTCACCGTGCCGTACCTGCCCTCCGTCAGGACATCCCCGTTCATCGTGGCATCGTTCAGGAACCGTCGTGACGGCCTCACCGTCGACATTGCCAGGGCCAGGTCCTGCAAGAGTTGCACCGTCAGAGGAACCATGAACGGGATCGGCCTCTTATGTAAAATCACCGAAACGTGGTTGTTGATATATATTCTCTCTGTCCTAAAAAAACCTACTTAACCTGAAAGGGATGTGACATTTTAGTACAATGAATCTGAACAGGTGTTATTCAAATTTATTGTAATAGGAGAGAATATATTATTTTTGGGACGAAGGAAGTAGACCTGTAGGTGATGGGTCCCATATGTCAGTCACAATGTCAAGGCGTGTAGTTAATTACATCAGAGATTCAGAGGAACAGATAATGGCCATTGTTGCATACCTCGGGTGGGCTGAGCTGATACACTCGCCGTGCCAAGTACCTGGATTTTTCACATTTTGGTCCTTTTAAAAAACTTATTTCGCAAATAGACCCCTGAAAAAACTTATCCCAGAAATGGTCCTTTTTTGAGCGCCAGAGTGGCTGGCACCGTCATCCAACGGGACGGTGCCAGAGAGGCTGGCGCCGTCCTCCTGCCACCGTGGCGCACGCGAACCGACGTGGCAGGAGGAGGGCGCCAGCCATGCTGGCGCCGCCGCCTCCATTCCTGTTTCTCTGTATGGAGTTGCAACGGTGTCATTTTTATTTTATTTTTTCGGATGTTTTTTCACACTTAGGATCACGATACAACCAACCACAAAAAAAATTTAAACTCGAACTACCACTTAACTAAGTCTGAAAATAGCTAGCATACCATTTAGTCTACTTTTCACCTTCACTAAAATTAGACCATAATTCCTTTAGTAAAACCCTTTGATCAGCATGTTAAACATAATGCACTCTACCACTATATGAAATTACTTAATCTAATTCAAAATATAACCACATGAAATGACATATATAAGTTAAACTGTACATAGAGATGCAATTTTTTTTATTTTTATTTCATTTTTTTGATATTTTTTTCACACTTAGGAGAACATAGGAACCAACCGTATAAAAAATAAACTCAAACGGACAAAATATGTTACTTGTAGAATTTTCCAAAACTCTACCGAAACGGACAAAATATGTCATCTATTAAAATAGGCGTAACTTTCTCATACGGACTCGGAATCAGGCAAATAATATATGCACGGACATCTACAGAAAATGTTACATCCGATTCTCCCCAGCTTTGCCGAGTTCGGCGATATTAAAACCTCCAAATTCTGCTTGCAAGATTGTGTTTTCGAGCAGAGAAGTTTTTCGGTAGAACTTTGGAAAATTCCACATGCCACATATTTCGTCCGTTTGAGTTTATTTTTTACATGGTTGATTCCTGTGAGTTCCTAAGTGTGAAAAAATATCAAAAAATAAAATAAAAATAAAAAAGTTGCACATCTCTCCTTTGCACTAGTTCGGAGAGAGATGAGAGGAGAGGAAAAATTTTACAGGTCACATATTACGTCCATTTGAGTTCAATTTTTCTATGGTTGGTTTTTGTGTGTCCCTAAGCGTGAAAAAAATATCAAACAAATAAAACAAAAATAAAAAATTTCGGGGGGGGGGGGGGCGCCAGCCACTCTGGCGCACTCCCTAGCCACCTCAGCATCGCCCCGGCCACGTCGGCAGGGGGACGGCGCCAGAGAGGCTGGCGCCGTCCTGTTGGACGACGGCGCCAGCCACTCTGGCGCCCCAAAAAGGACCATTTTTGGGATAAGTTTTTCTATGGGTCTATTTGCGAAATAAGTTTTTCAAAAGGATCAAAATGTGAAAAATCCAGTGCCAAGTACTCTGGTCCGAACAGAAACGTCTTGTCAGGATTCTGGGGATCACCGATGGTTCGGATCGTGCAATCCATGAAGAAATCTGCATCCTTCCCTTGCGATAGCTAGCCCCAGTTCGTACAATTCAGAGTAAGTTCAGACACTGCTTCACAAAAGGTTTTGGGTGATTTTGCTGTAGGTATGTACCTGCTTAAATGCGAACGACATGGACTTGCCGGCGGCGGGCATGGTGGCGGTGACGAACACGGCGACGGCGATCTTCTCCGGGTGCCTCTCCATGGCCAGCGCGAGGCTCTGCCCGCCGAAGCTGTGCGCGACGACGACCGCCTTCTCCTCACCGTCCTGATCGGCTACCGCGTCGAGCAGCGGCGCGGTGTACCGCTCGAAGGACGGCACCTCGTCGGCGCGGCCCGGGCGCGCGCCGCAGGCGGCCATGTCGAGCGCGGTGACGCGGTGGCCGGCGGAGGAGAGCGCGGTGGTCACCCTGTACCAGCACCACGCGCCGTGGCAGACGCCGTGCACCAGGATGAAGTGGTGGCGCCGCCGCCGCCGCTGCTGCTTGTTGCTGCCGCTCTGATCCGTCGTCGTCTCCGGTGAGCTCATGGGTGGACAAACTTGCCGTCGCCGGCCGGCTGCTGCCGCTTTTGTGTTGGGTGTTCACGATAAGATCAATCAGTGACGAATCCAGGATGCAAGTTGATCGGGAGTGGTAGTGTAAAAATATAATATGATTAAAATAAATAAAAATATATCAACTAAAGTATTTTTCAATGAAAACCAAACGCGCATATGATGAATTTTGATTTGTGACTATATTAAAATATTCACAAATATCTGTCAATATATTGTTAAGTATACTCGGAGTAAGTTCTGTTCTATAAGTTTGGGCAGGAGAAGCAGTGAGGCAGCCTAAATCCTTGCCTTCCGAGAAATTTCCTGAATACTAATTAGACTTGTTAATGACTAACAAGGAAGGTAGCCCGCGCATTCGCGCGACTATGTATCGTAGGGCTGTATTTTAAACACTATAAGGGTGGGATATAAGCCAGAGAATATTTGTTGTTTAAGAAAAAGAATGGTAAAATAAATCATACATCACTATATATACTGTAATTAAGGAAATGTAAATTATCTAACAATAAAAAAAAGCAATATATTTACCGTAAAATAGATGGTAGATTTTAATATACTACTAAATATGATAAAAATAAGAATATCTCTCATATTTAAATAAAAATCCCTTTGTCGTGGTCATATATAAACTCGTCTATTGTTCTTGCATCAAAAGCTATGTGCATTTTTTAATAAGACGACATTAATAGTTTAATACCACTAAAATAAATTATACATTATTAATACACTAAAAATCATCTACACTGTTTAACTTGGTGTTCATCACTTATTTCCACATCTATGTATAAATAGTCTAAACATACCATTTGAATCGAATAATACAATAACACCGTTAAAAATAGACATGAATGCCTCTCTAACGGATAAAGTCGACTATAATTGCCAAGGCTTCCTTATGTAATGCCCTGGAACATCAGTCCCACATCGACATAGCCATGCCCCCAAAGACCAGCCTATAGCATCATTTAACACTTAATTCACTATTGGCACACCCACAAATGATTCTATTAGTTAGTATGTCCCTTTATATACATTGCCTACAGTAATCTTTTCACTGATGCCACCTTAACTCAACCATACGTATACCCTTGCAATATTTACGATAGCATAGTAAATACTATACCCTGCATTGAAGGACGGAGAGGGACAAAAAGGAGGAGGAGGTGATAAAAATAGTTATAATTTTTGCCCCCTACTTATTTCTGTGTAGTATTATTTTTAACAAAATCGTAGTTTAAAGGCTATTGACAACACATAAGTGCCAGACTGCCGGCTTTGATGATTTTTTTCTTGATTAATTAGTGCTTCTTTGATTTTACTATTGATATATTTTTTGATTTATCGTTTTTCTCCATAGTATATGATGTAGGTAATTAAGTTTTTTTTCCAGAAAGTGAGATGATCGTCCGAACTATACGTACGTACGTTATTCTTTTTCGGGATGGAGATTAGCAGCGTGGGAGTTTTAATAGATCTAATCCAACGGTTTAAAATAACGGGTCCACCAATTTAAGTGAAAATTGAAGGTTGAATGTTTTTTTTCTCTGATTTTCTAGGATTTCTCTAATTTATTAGAGCGCCAAGCACATACATTCCACGTGTGATTCTACAAACACTAATAAACCATCATGTGACAGTATAATAAATCAGATAAAATCATAAAAATTCTAAAAAAAAAGGTCTAACCATCGATTTTAACTTAAAGATGAGAGACCCATTATTTTATATAGTTAGAATTATCTTAAAAAATAAAAAGGCGTGAGACATACGTGAGACGTGCATGTACGTACGTATCTATTTGTCCTTCTCACTCCTCACCTCCTCTATGTTTTTAACTGACAAAATCTTATAAAAACTCAATAATTAGATAGAGGTCACATGATCTAATTTTTAATTTTTAAATAACAAAATATGGGTAATATAGATCTTGAATTTGGTATTTAATTGATAAATAGCACAACAGTTGAAAAAATGAGAAAAAAATATGTAACTTGAGAATTATGTAGATTTAGATAATTGATTATTATCATTTTTATATATTAAGTGTTAGCTATAAAATAGGAGAAGTTAGCTTAAAAAATAGGAGAATAGGGGAGAGTTGGGAGGGTGTGGAGGGGAGTACGTGTACGTGCGTGCTTACGGTGGTGGGGATACCAGATTTTTTTCTTTTAGATGAAGATTTAATTGGCAAAATTAGTGGGTCCACCCTTTTTTTTCTAATTTATTAGAACGCCATGTGACAGTTTATGAGAGTTTGTAGGAGGCCACATGGCAGTTTAGGATCGTTTGTAGAAAGGTTAATGGACTTTTAGTATATAATAGATAGATAGATTAGGAGTAGGGATTAGCGGTGGGGCTGACGCACCAACCAGCCCTAACAGTGGATCCGCTACTGAGATCAATACTGAAATACTAGCACGATAGCAGCTACTACTTGCATGTTCTAGTCTGCAATATTTTGAATTTTTATAGTCAGTGCTCGGATGACGCAGCGTGTAGCCACTAAATGGGTCCCTCCAAAAGAAAAATTATAGGAGTATCTGAAATGTTTTAATATCAGCTAGCCGTACCATACACTAGCAAAAAAACATTTCCAAAGTAGTTTTCAGGAATTTGGTAGGGATCCATGCTGGGGATTTTGGAGCTCCCACCACAGTGCCAAATAAACACTCACTCCATTTGAAAATATGTATCAAATTTAATAGTAGTATCTTATAATATTTTGTGATGAAGGTAGTACTACTTATCAAAGATTTTGAGTGAGAGCGCACCTTTCATTGCACCATCCAAGACTTACAAGTAGGAGCATACTCTCTGTCCCAAGATGACAAAGAGTAGCCGTCTTGCTACTAGCGGCCCGCGTTCAATTCTCGAGAAAACACCGAGCCTGACACCCTGCCTGTTAATAAACTGACAATGGTTTCATTTTATCATTCCCTAGGAAAGTAAATTATGCTGTGAGTCACTTGTAACTAAAAACTAGAGCGACATAATTTAATATTAATGAAGTCAAAAAAAACATGTCGTTGTCCACGAGCGTTGTCTAGGACAAAAACACCTAAGAATTTTAATCTGGATGGACTAGTTATACCACAACAGAACCCAACCATTTATGCTATGCTTCTTTCGTTGAGGTAGTTATTAGCTTCTCACATATGATCAATCGGCAAACCGTATTTTGTTTCCGTTCTAGCTCTGCAACAACCGACTTGCAGGGACAATGTGATACATGTAAAAAAAAAGAATTTTTGCGGTCCCTAAGGAGATGCTAAAATTAATTACCATACCTACTATACACTGTTATGTGCATTTTTGTGAGGTGGAGCTCAATAAGAGCAAGTTTAAGTTTAATAGTATAACCCACTACTAGCTCCAAATCATCTATAGCAAATGTAATAGCTAATTCATACAATAGTTGCTTATTATACTATTAATATCTGGTCTCACCTGTCATATACACATTACGTCTTCGAGTCCGTGCTGCAGTTGGCTACAAATCTGTAGCCCGCTGCTCTTCTCTTTCTTCCTTTATCTCTTCAAAATATGTTTATAGCTGACTTATAGCCTGCTATTGTACCTGCTCTAAGCCTGAGCGTTCCCAAGCACCTAGGGAAAAAAACTGCCCCCATTTCAAATTATAAAATGATGTTTTGGTCTCTTCACTTGTTTAGATTCACTAGTATTCATATCAATTTGGACACATATATAAAGCACATATAGATCTATATTCACTAATATAAAAATATAAAAATATAAAAATAATAACTATTCGAGTTATATTTATGATCTCTTGAGGGAGATTAACAATGGATATAAAAGATATGATCCTTATGAAATAGGAGGGTCCTTGGAGAATAGAGATATACAGGAGGAATGGTTGGCAACTTGAGGTAATAGGGAAAGATTTGAGTAAGAGGTGATTGATGGAACATTAGTGCTCTAAAATATCTACAGTTATGACCAAATGGAGAGGGCGAAAACCTTTTATATTTATGAACAGAGGGAATACGTACTATATATGGTGTTGTGTCCATGTTTTTCCAATCAGATCTAAATACTACGACGATGATTATAGTAGAGGTGATATGATAGTCACTCTAATTTTGTTCACATCATTTACACATTATTACTCAGTAGATATAAGATAATATACACAGTACACACCACCAGCACACTTGCTCTAATAGTCCACAATCTGAGTTATATTATTTGTTTTGTTCTTAATCCATTTGTCTATATATTTCTTCACTCATTATTGCCTTGCATCTCCTCTCTCCTCTGTTGCCTTATCGGCTTGTCTTGTGAGCTTACATGGTATCCTAAGGCCAGGACGACTTAGAGGCCTACTTGCTCTACAAGAGGACAGGTCTTAAAAAATGACGGCAATTTGTAGCTCTTGAGTCGTGTGCTCGTTAGTGCGAGCGTTCATAGTGGCCTTCCTTTCAGGCTTAATTATTTTGTTGTCGCTGTATTATATGTAAACTTTGTTTCTTTATCAAGGAACGCTTTCTTAAAGTCTTAAAAGAAATGCTTTTCTAAAGTGCGGTGGTAAATAAAATCATATATCCATTTCTTCTATACTACCTCCATTTTTTAATATATGATACCGTTGAATTTTATAAACATATCACCATTCGTCTTATTCAAAATTTCAATGGAAGTATAAAAAAAACTAAGTCATGCTTAAAAAAACATTTGATAATAAATCAAATCAAAATAAAATAAATAATAATTATATATTTTTTTTGAATCAGACAAATCACTACTAGAAAAAGTATTTTTGCAGGCGGCCAAAAGTGATTTTTTCAGGCAGAGGAGAGGATCGCCTGTAGCCCAACGACTGTGAAAATCGATGATTTTCGCAGTCGGGGCAATGGCCCGCCTGCGAAAATGCATTGAAAAAGCAAAAAAAAATCGCCACACGCCTCGCCGCCGCCGCCCTCCCCAGCCGGATCTAGGAGGGAAGGGGAAGGGAGCTGCGCCGGGCGGCATCGTCGCCGCGCCGTCCCGCGCCGTCGTCGCCGCCGCCGTCCCGCGCCGTCGTCGCCGCCGCCGCCGCCGCCGCCCCCGCCGGCCTCCCCCTCCCTCCTCCCGCCAGATCTGGGAGGGAGGGGAGAGGGGAGCTGCCGCCGCTGCCCCTGCCGGCCTCCCCCTTCCCTCCTCCAGCCATATTTGGGAGGGAGGGGGGAGCCGCCGCAGCCGCCCCGCGCGCGCCGTCGTCGCTGCCACCGCCACCGAGCCATCGTTGTCGCCATCCCGCGCCCCGCCGCCCTCCCCAGGCCTCCCTCCGGCCGGTACTGGGAGGAGAGGGGAGGGGAGCCCCCGCCGCACCGGGAGCCGCGTCGTCGTCGCCGCTGATGCCGCCACCGCGCCGCCCCGGGCGCGCCGCCATCGCCGCCGGTAGAGGGAGGGAGGGGAGGGGAGGGGAGGGGAGGGGAAAGTGTTGAGGGGGAGAGAGAGTTAAGTGAGGGAAATGAGTGGTGGGGAGGGGGTGGAGGAGAAGATAAGACTTAAAATTTTTTGGGGTAGGTATGATTTTCGCAGGCGCGGTTTGGGTGGTCTGCCTGCGAAAATCATTTTCGCAGGCGTCGCTTAAGTGGTCCGCCTGCGAAAATCTATTTTCGCAGACGGACAACGCACTTCACCCCGATTTATATTTTTATAGGCGGTCATTTGGCTTCAAGGGATATATCCGCCTGTGAAAATCAGACCCCACGTCGGGAAAAATGCATTTTCTAATAGTGAATGGTCAAACGTATCTCAAAAAGTGAATGATGTTACATATTAAAAAACGTATCAAGTAGTTTTCATACTTGTCGTGTCATATATACATTATGTATAGAAACTATGAACCCAATGGATGGTGCTTTCAAATTAAATTCTCATCCAATCACCTATTTCCTCTCTCCTTTTATCCACATATCCTCTTATATACTTCTCTTATTACTCCGACTTGTCTCCAATGTTCTATGCTTCAGATTGGTGTACGGAGTTGTTCGGCACGTAAAATGGAACGACATATTTTCTTATGATTAATTAAGTATTTACTATTTTAATGGATTAATATGATTTTTTTAAAAACAACTTTATATAGAAAATTTGTGTAAAAATACTGTTTAGCTACTTGAAAAATGTGCGTGCGAAAAATGAGAGAGGTGGGTTGGAACTCACTAGAGATACAGAGTTATACGCCACACCGCCAATAGCCCAACAGTAGCTAGGTTTTAAGGCCCCCTGTTTTTCTCCTCGGTCTGTTTTACTTTTAGGCTGTGTTCGCACATCCTTATCCCCATCCGGACAGTGAGCACAGAAAACGAAACGATCCATTAGCACGTAATTAATTTAGTATTAGCTATTTTTTTTTAAAAATAGATTAATTTGATTTTTTTAAGCAACTTTTGTATAGAAACTTTTGCAGAAAACTCACCGTTTAGCAGTTTAAAAAGCGTGCGTGTGAAAAATGAGGGAGAGGGTTTGGGAAAAGGGGATACCCAATCCCCCGCATGCCCCCAACTCACCTAATTATCCACCTTCTTCCTCCAGCGTGCGGACTGTGGTTCGGCTGGCCTTTGGATTCTTCGAGCACTTGGAGCAGAGAACCTCCGGACACCAGCCACAATCTGAGGCTCGCATCGATCCTCGGTAAGATTAAGATACGAATTTGTTTGTTTGTTTTTTCGGTTTTGGACACCACTTCAGTTCTGTGCTGCACTTTTGCTCAAGCATATAATCATATATTTCAGTATTTCATCACCAGTTTGTTCCTTTCTGTTTGACCTACAAGTACGATTACTGTGAGAAGTCGGGGTTTGTACTGCTTAAGAAATGCTTAAAAAATATGCTTAGGTTGATTTGTTTGCCGATATGATGTCGGTACTGGTCATGGATTTGTAGGTGCCTCTCGTCATATTTTTATCTCATGTTAGAACCACATATTTTTGCTGTTCTGGTAGTACTATTTTAGATAACTTTTATGGTGGTTTATTCTAGCATTTAGAACCTTTATCTTTCATTGTCCAATCGATCTTCTCTCGTAATACTACCACGTCAGCTACAAAGCAGTACTCCCTCCGTATATCTATATAGATATAAGGGATTTTGGTTGGATGTGACATATTCTAGTATAACGAATCTGGACAAACTTCATGTCCAGATTCGTTGTATTATGATATATGTCACATTCAACCACAATCTCTTATATTTAGGTAGGAATGGAGGGAGTATCATTTTTTCTTATATAGGACAAAGTAGTATCACTTTTTTTTCTACCGCTAATCCTATCTTACTATAAAGTTGATGTCTACTAACTTCTAAAGCTCAGCATGTAAGTAAGTGTGTGTCACATCTTCACCCACTAGCAATTATTTTCTAGAGTATTCTAAATTACATGTAAGTGTATCACATCATCACTCAAAAGTAATTATTATCTAGAGTATCTTAAATATCATGTAAACATGACATCGTTTATAATTTTGTTCTATTTTTAGAACTCAATATGCAAACAATGTTAAATCATTATCTTCACATCATTTTTATATTACCTAAACATATACATATTACCATTTCTATAATGTATAACATGCATTCATGCATCCATATATCCCGCAGCAAAACGCGGGGTATCGAGTAAAACTCATTAAGCAAAGCGCGGGATATTATTGGTTGTAGGAAACAACAAGTAGAGACCACCATAAAAGTGGTCGTTAATTTAATTTGTAGGCCAATTCTCATCTCTTGCATTGATCTGAAATGTTATTTTTTTGTGTGATTTAAATTATAGGAGTGTACCAGCATTTCACAGCAGTTGGGTATTGGAATGAAAAACTGTAAAGTACACTTAAAATGTTTAACTTTAGAGATTTGCTCCGGTCCAACAAAAAAAATACCTCGAGGTACCGGTATCTCACAGTACTAAATCGTTTTCGATGGTTGGATCTAGTTGGGAAGGATGGACATTGTTAGATCCAACGATCGAAAACGATTTGGTATCGTGAGGTACCAGTACTTCGAGGTACTTTTTGTTGGACCGGAGCAGATCTCTAAAATTTACGATATTTGAGGTTGTCAAGGTAACCGGCCAACATATATAGAGGGTCTAATTTGAATTTTAATTAGAAAAATCATCTTATTGTTGGTACCAATACTATGAAATTTGACAATTGCTGCGGAGCCAAGATAGACCGTGACCTCTACAATTCTTTAGCACTGGTATTAGGAGATATCACAAATTATTAATTACTAAAAGGTATATTACCTATTATACGTTTGTTCTCAAGGACAATAAACATAAAGCTTAACATTCCAAAACTCGTTACATCTATGATTGATAGGATTTGATTTGTTGACCTTCCTAGAAGGAAAATCGGGTGGGTTTTGAGATGGCTGGAGTATTCGCCTCCATGGCTATCGAATGGGCGATCGACAAGCTCTATTCCTTGCTGCCAGCATGTCTGGTATCAACACCTGCATCGTCATCGTCTTCCGCAGCGCCAGCTGAAAGCGAGGACCTTGAGGTTCTGAAGAGGCTTGAGAGAACAATGCACAGGATCCATGCGACACTGCACGATGCAGAGGAACAGTGGAACATCAGGGAGGAAACAGCCAAGCTGCGGCTCAAGGAACTGAAGAAGGTGGCCTACGACGCGGAGGACGTGGTGGATGAGTACGGGTACGAGATGACACGCCATAAAGTGGAGGCATTTGAGCAATCTGCAAGGGCTAATCGCAGCGGCAAGCGCAGGCGCGAAGAGGTAAAATTTTCATCACTGCATAATCTATGCCAACAAAAATTCTATCAGATATTTATATATGATGTTTGGACCATGTTTATGCATGATATGTTTGTTGGAATTAATGAATGGGCCTTAGCCCACTCGAAGATTAATTCTTTGGAAAATCACAAAAGCCCACCTCATGGGATGGCATGCATGTGGAGTTTAGTACCACCTTGCTTATTCTAGGAGAGGGGGACCTCCTTAAAAGGGAGGATGTCCTCCTAGCCACTTGAAGCATGTGTGGTGGAGAGAAGAGGGGAAACACGCGCGCGCTCGCTCGCCTCGCCTGGCAGGGCGTGCGGCGCGCGTGCACGACGTACGACGTCGAATAGTCCGAAAAATTGGCTCCTCACCCTTGCGCAGATGCAGCCTCCTTTTGCAGTTTTGTTTTGCTGCAAATTCGGATTCGTTTTTGTTTTGGAAACGTTCCGAAAAATCCGGTGCGTGCAAACGGCGTGGAGTCCGGATAAGTTACGCGCGACTTATCCGGTTCGGTTACGCGCAGTAGAGATCGTGCGGGCGCCCTGATCAAGCGACCCTTCTCTATATAAACCGACCCGCCGTCTTCACGCAGTATATACGCAAAATCAATCTAGGGTTTGCCTCCTACTTTGTACTGCGCCGTCGCTCGTAGACTACTCCATCCCGCTCGCCGGCGTGCACCAGCGATCGGGAGAGCAGGTCTCCGGAACCTCAGCCTTTGACGTCCTGCACCGGGAGAAGGCGGCAATAAGGTTTTTGGGAAGCGCTTCGCGCGACTGCTCCCTGTTCGTTCGTGACGGCTCGCCTTCCTCTTCGCTCGCGTGTTTCGTGCCTTCGTAGACACCTGCGAAATGTTTCGACCAAGCAGCCGGTCTTTTCGTCACCTCGGTACGTGTTCAATATGTTGCGCATATTTGATCTGTTCATGTTATACTGTGTAGTTTACATGTGTAGATCTAATGATGCGTTCATGCTAGTTTTCATCTGTAATGTCATGATTTATTTATGGAATAGATTAAATCATTATATGTCTATAATCTCAACAATCCAAAAACCTTATTATAGGCACTGTGATTTTACTATGGCTGGTTTTGCTGATGCACTGAGGCCGGATAAATTCACCGGTGTGCATTTTAAGAGATGGCAGATCAGGGTCACTCTGTGGCTGACAGCTATGAAATGCTTCTGGGTGAGTACTGGCAAACCTGTAGGAGTTCTTACTGCTGAACAGCAGAAGCAATTCGAGGAAGCCACTACTCTCTTTGTGGGATGCATTCTTAGCGTTCTTGGCGATCGTCTGGTCGAGGTGTATATGCATATGACCGACGCTAAGGAGTTGTGGGATGCACTGAATACTAAATTCGGTGCTACTGATGCTAGCAATGATCTGTATATCATGGAGCAGTTTCATGACTACAAAATGGCTGACAACCGTTCTGTAGTCGAACAGGCTCATGAGATACAAACCATGGCTAAGGAACTCGAACTCCTTAAGTGTGTCTTACCCGACAAATTTGTGGCCGGGTGCATTATTGCAAAACTACCTCCATCTTGGAGGAGTTTCGGTACTGCATTCAAATACAAGAGACAGGAATACTCCGTTGAGGGGTTGATTGCGTCTCTTGATGTTGAGGAGAAAGCTCGGGAAAAAGATGCCGCGTCTAAGGGCGATGGTGGGCAGTCCAGTGCCAATGTTGTGCACAAGGCCCAGAACAAGAGCAAGGGGAAATACAAAGCTCAGCAGACCACCAACTTCAAGAAGCAGAAGAAGAACAACAACAATCCTAATCAGGATGAGAGGACTTGCTTTGTGTGTGGCCAAGTTCGTCATCTGGCTAGGAAGTGTCCACAGCGCAAGGGGATGAAGGCACCTGCAGGGCAGACTTCTAAGTCTGCTAATGTGACCATTGGCAACACTGGAGATGGAAGCGGGTATGGTAATTTACCTACTGTTTTTTCAGTTAATCAATCTACTAATTTGTGGGTTGATACTGGGGCCAATGTACATGTTTGTGCTGACATCTCATTGTTTTCTTCTTATCAGGTCGCACGGGGTTCCACCGTCCTAATGGGGAATGGGTCACATGCTTCTGTTCATGGTGTTGGCACGGTAGATCTGAAGTTTACTTCGGGAAAGATCGTGCAGCTGAAGAACGTGCAGCATGTCCCTTCTATCGACAGGAATCTTGTTAGTGGCTCCCGTTTGACTAGAGACGGATTTAAGTTGGTTTTTGAGTCTAATAAAGTAGTCGTGTCTAAACATGGATATTTTATTGGTAAAGGTTATGAGTGCGGAGGCCTGTTCCGCTTTTCCCTTTCTGATTTCTGCAATAAGTCCGTGAACCATATTTGTGGCAGTGTGGATGATGAGGCTAATGTTTGGCATTCACGTTTATGTCATATTAATTTTGGCTTGATGTCTCGGCTTTCCAGCATGTGTTTAATTCCTAAGTTTTCCATTGTCAAAGGTTCTAAGTGCCATAGTTGTGTGCAATTGAAGCAACCTCGCAAGCCTCACAAGGCTGCCGAGGAGAGAAACTTGGCACCACTAGAACTCCTACATTCAGATCTTTGTGAAATGAATGGGGTGTTGACGAAGGGTGGAAAACGATATTTCATGACATTGATTGATGATGCTACTAGATTTTGCTATGTGTACTTGTTGAAAACGAAAGACGAGGCTCTAGACTATTTTAAAATTTATAAGGCAGAAGTTGAAAATCAACTTGACAGAAAGATAAAAAGGCTTAGGTCTGATCGTGGTGGAGAGTTTTTCTCGAACGAGTTTGACTTATTCTGTGAGGAACATGGCATCATACATGAGAGGACGCCTCCCTATTCTCCCGAGTCTAATGGGATTGCTGAAAGGAAGAACCGCACACTGACTGACTTGGTGAATGCCATGTTGGACACCGCGGGACTGCCTAAGGCATGGTGGGGGGAGGCATTGTTGACCTCAAATCATGTGTTAAACAGAGTTCCTAACAGAAATAAAGACAAAACACCATATGAGATATGGATTGGTAGAAAACCATCACTTTCTTATTTGCGCACATGGGGGTGCTTGGCGAAAGTCAATGTACCAATAACGAAGAAGCGCAAACTTGGACCTAAGACTGTGGACTGTGTTTTTCTGGGATATGCTCATCATAGCATTGCCTATAGATTTTTAATAGTTAAATCCGAGGTACCGGACATGCATGTTGGTACAATTATGGAGTCTCGTGATGCTACCTTCTTTGAGAGCTTTTTCCCAATGAAGGATACACATAGTGGTTCGAACCAACCCTCTGAAATAATTCCCAGTTCAATCACACCACCAGAACAAACTGAACATACACATGAACTTGTCTCTGAGGAGGATGTCAGTGAAGCTCCTCGAAGGAGTAAGAGACAAAGGACGGTTAAGTCTTTTGGTGATGATTTCACTGTGTACCTCGTGGATGACACTTCCTAAGTCAATTTCAGAAGCATATGCATCTCCTGATGCAGACTACTGGAAGGAGGCTGTCCGTAGTGAAATGGATTCCATTATCGCTAACGGGACTTGGGAGGTGACAGAGCGACCCTATGGGTGTAAACCTGTGGGGTGCAAGTGGGTGTTCAAGAAGAAGCTTAGGCCTGACGGTACTATTGAAAAGTATAAGGCTCGGCTTGTTGCTAAGGGCTATACTCAGAAAGAAGGCGAAGATTTCTTTGACACTTACTCACCTGTTGCTAGATTGACCACAATTCGTGTGCTACTTTCCCTTGCAGCCTCACATGGTCTTCTCGTTCATCAAATGGACGTTAAGACAGCTTTTCTTAATGGAGAGCTGGATGAGGAGATCTATATGGATCAACCTGATGGGTTTGTAGTTGAAGGTCAAGAAGGCAAAGTGTGTAAATTGTTGAAGTCTTTGTATGGTCTGAAACAAGCTCCTAAGCAATGGCATGAGAAATTTGACAAAACATTGACATCTGCAGGCTTTGCAGTCAATGAGGCAGATAAATGTATGTACTATCGCCATGGTGGGGGTGAGGGAGTTATTTTGTGCTTGTATGTTGACGACATACTGATATTTGGGACAAACCTTGAGGTGATAAATGAGGTTAAATCATTCTTGTCTCAAAATTTTGATATGAAAGATTTGGGAGTAGCTGATGTTATCTTAAACATTAAGCTAATTAGAGGTGAGAATGGGATTACACTCTTGCAGTCCCATTATGTGGAGAAGATCTTGAATCGCTTTGGCTACATTGATAGTAAGCCTTCTCCAACATCTTATGATCCTAGCTTGTTGCTTCGCAAGAACAAGAGAATTGCTAGGAATCAACTAGAATACTCCCAAATCATTGGCTCGTTGATGTACCTGGCTAGTGCAACTAGGCCTGATATCTCCTTTGCTGTGAGCAAGTTGAGCCGATTTACCTCTAATCCGGGAGATGATCACTGGCGTGCGCTTGAGCGAGTAATGCGCTATCTGAAAGGTACTGTGGAATTAGGGCTTCACTATACTGGGTATCCTGCGGTACTGGAGGGTTATAGTGATTCTAACTGGATCTCTGATGTGGATGAGATCAAAGCCACTAGTGGATATGTTTTCACACTGGGTGGTGGTGCTGTTTCATGGAGGTCTTGCAAACAGACCATTTTGACGAGGTCAACCATGGAAGCAGAGCTAACGGCACTGGATACTGCTACTGTTGAGGCAGAATGGCTGCGTGATCTATTAATGGATCTGCCTGTTGTTGAAAAACCGGTGCCGGCTATCCTTATGAACTGTGACAATCAAACGGTAATTGTCAAAGTGAATAGTTCTAAGGATAATATGAAATCGTCTAGACATGTGAAAAGACGATTGAAGTCTGTCAGGAAATTAAGAAACTCCAGAGTTATAACGTTGGATTACATCCAAACAGCGAGAAACCTGGCAGATCCCTTCACGAAGGGACTATCACGAAATGTGATAAACAATGCATCGAAGGAGATGGGTTTGAGACCCATGTGAGTTATACTATGGTGGTAACCCAGTCTATGTGATCGGAGATCCCGTGAATTAGATCCTGGGAAGAACAAACCATTAGTAAACTAGAGGAGAGTATCAATATATATACCCTCTCCAAGTGAAGATGCATGTACTCTCGTGAGCTGCAAGGCAGGTTGGCTATGCCTTAATGAGTTCTGTTGGCTTTAATTAGCGAAGATGTTGTCCTGCAGAGCATTCTTGAAAGAACTAACCTTTGTGAGCTTGACTGTTGGTCGCAGTCTATGAAGATTTTGGGTGAATCTTCTAGGAAGCTTACTAAAGACCTAGGAGTATGACTTATACGCTCCACCCGAGGGGTAGTCTACAGACGGTCTAGTACCAGATAAGACTTTGAGTGAAACTTGCTTGCACAAGACTTGCAATTCAAGGCGTAGTCCATTGTTCAAGTTGTGAGTAAGTGTAGCTTGGAGTTCTAGGTGGATGTTCAACCTTAATGGGTCTCCATCGAACGCTGGTATATAAACAGTACATTGGAAAAGGCAAATCTCAGTGGGATTTTGAGATTTGGTGGGGGATTGTTGGAATTAATGAATGGGCCTTAGCCCACTCGAAGATTAATTCTTTGGAAAATCACAAAAGCCCACCTCATGGGATGGCATGCATGTGGAGTTTAGTACCACCTTGCTTATTCTAGGAGAGGGGGACCTCCTTAAAAGGGAGGATGTCCTCCTAGCCACTTGAAGCATGTGTGGTGGAGAGAAGAGGGGAAACACACGCGCGCGCTCGCTCGCCTCGCCTGGCCTGGCCTGGCATGGCAGCGCGTGCACGACGTACGCGTCGAATGGTCCGAAAAATTGGCTCGTCACCCTTGCGCAGATGCAGCCTCCTTTTGCAGTTTTGTTTTGCTGCAAATTCGGATTCGTTTTTGTTTTGGAAACGTTCCGAAAAATCCGGTGCGTGCAAACGGCGTGGAGTCCGAATAAGTTACGCGCGACTTATCCGGTTCGGTTACGCGCAGTAGAGATCGTGCGGGCGCCCTGATCAAGCGACCCTTCTCTATATAAACCGACCCGCCGTCTTCACGCAGTATATACGCAAAATCAATCTAGGGTTTGCCTCCTACTCTGTACTGCGCCGTCGCTCGTAGACTACTCCATCCCGCTCGCCGGCGTGCACCAGCGATCGGGAGAGCAGGTCTCCGGAACCTCAGCCTTTGACGTCCTGCACCGGGAGAAGGCGGCAATAAGGTTTTTGGGAAGCGCTTCGCGCGACTGCTCCCTGTTCGTTCGCGACGGCTCGCCTTCCTCTTCGCTCGCGTGTTTCGTGCCTTCGTAGACACCTGCAAAAAGTTTCGACCAAGAAGCCGGTCTTTTCGTCACCTCGGTACGTGTTCAATATGTTGCGCATATTTGATCTGTTCATGTTATACTGTGTAGTTTACATGTGTAGATCTAATGATGCGTTCATGCTAGTTTTCATCTGTAATGTCATGATTTATTTATGGAATAGATTAAATCATTATATGTCTATAATCTCAACAATGTTATTTCTGTTATGTACATTCATTTAAGATTTAACAGAAATTTCTCCAGAAGTAAGGAGATTCAGTTTTCCTGATTAAGGTTTTTATGTTTTCCAACATGAAGGTTGATGGCACAATCCAGAACATTTCGGACATAGTCCCAGTACCATCTGAGTTAGCTACTCGAGCAAGGAAAATCATGGACATGTTTAATGAAATCAAAGATTACGCTAGTAAATTCAGTTTGTCTGAGAATGATGGAGTGCGGCGATCTATTCCTGATATGCACCAAGTGCGGCAGACTAGCTCTATGGTATTTGAGCAGAGCATTATTGGCAGAGGAAGTATCAAGGACACTGTAATTGAAAAGATGCTGTCCCAAAACAAAAGCAGTACACCTGAAAGCCATGTTTCAGTCCTGGGCATAGTTGGTATGCCAGGAGTAGGCAAGACAACTCTAGCGCAGCTTGTGTACAACAACACAGAAGTATGCAAATCTTTTGATGTCCGTGTTTGGGTCTGTGTATCAGAGAACTTCGATGTAAAAGAAATTCAGGATAAGAGGTTTTTGCTAGTATTGGATGACGTATGGAATGAACGAAGAGACTACTGGGAAATGTTCCGTTTGCCAATGTTGACAACAAAGCTTTGCAAAATTATAGTAACTACTCGAAGTCAGAATGTTGCTAGATTGGTTCAAACAATGGATTCCTGTGAATTAAGCTGCTTAGATTCTAATGATAGCTGGTCATTGTTCAAACAAACTGCCCTTTTGGATGAAGAACATGCAAATAATCCAAGTCTACAAGAAATTGGCAAGGATATTGTTTCAAGGTGTAAAGGGTTGCCGTTGGCAATCAAGACTATTGGAAGCATGCTGCGCTACGAACCAGATGAAACTAAGTGGAAGGATATCTTAGAGAGTGATCTATGGGACTTAGAGCAATCACAGAATGAGGTACTGCCAGCACTGGAGCTGAGCTATAAGCAGATGCCCATGTACTTGAAACGATGTTTTATTGCCCTCTCCTTGTTTCCAAAAGATTACATACTTCATGAAGAAAATGTGGTTCTTCTGTGGGAGCCACTGGAGTTACTTCAACATGGTGATGGAGCAAATAAGGCAAAACTTGCAGTTTCATATCTCCATGAATTAGCTCAGAGGTCTATGATTGAAATTTAGTACTCATAGTGCATACAAGATGCATGACCTCATCCATGATCTTGCATGCTTTCTTGCTGGAGATGAGTTTGTTAGAACTGAAGGTAATTCACAAGTTGAAATCTCACCAAATGCTCGGTATTTGTCAGTAGTACCAACATCACCCTGGGAAATTAGTACTATCAATATTTCAGATTCTTCAGATTCACTCAAAGCTATCATTGTGATTGGTCATGGACTTGACGAAATTGTAATCCCAGATGACATATTCCTAAAGTTCAAACGGCTGCGCGTCTTTAGCTTGAATGGAGCTGCGCCTACCAATCTATTACCAGACTCAGCTGGCAACCTAAAACTCTTACGCTTTTTGAGGTTGAGATGCAGCATAGATTGCCAGATCATGCAACTACCTAAATCGGTATTCCAGCTTTTTAATTTACATACCCTAGAACTGATGAAGCCAGCTTTTGATCTGTATACACCAATTGTAAGTGGAATCGGCCGACTAATTAAGCTAGAAACTTTGCCTCCACTTGAAATACTAAGTGGATATGACAGTAACTTAAGTGAGCTGAGGAATATAAGAAAAGTAAGGAGCCTGAGTCTAAAAGGGCTGGATTATGTATGTAGTGTTGAAGATGCAATGGAAGCTGATATCCCGAGTAAAATTCACCTCCAATCACTCAACTTGGATTTTACGAGCTCACACCATCAACAACTGCAGCAGCATAAGCCTGGTGCAGTATCTCATAAGGAACTATTGGAGAGTTTGCAACCATGTCACACCCTCAGAGATCTGAGTATATATGGTTACAGAGGCCTGACCTTCCCGTGTTGGGTTGGTAACACTTCCTTTTCCAAGTTGACAAAAGTAGTGTTATCCAAGTGTGAATGGGAATGCCTTCCAGCACTTGGTGAGTTGCCTTCCCTTGAGTCTTTGGAGATTTCCAGAATGTATAATCTTCGATTCATTGGACGAGAGTTTTGCTGCCTAAATCAAAGTGTTAAAGTTTTCCGCTCATTGGTCAACTTGAGTTTTTCCTGGATGTATGAATTGTCAGAATGGTCTGGAGTGAAGGACGGTGATTTCGCTTGCTTAGAGACTCTCTTGTTATGCCAGGACAATAAACTAAGATTTCTTCCATTGGTGCCCTTCTCGTCCTTGGTTACATGTAGGTTATCGAATTGTGGTAATCTGGTAACAGTTCCAGTATCCTATGCCCTTTGTGACCTATATATAAATGATTGTGCAAGTCTTATTGAACTTCCTTCTCTCCCATCCCTTATTAAGCTGAAGATATCAAACTGCTCAAGCCTAGGAGCTACAATCCCTATGTTCCCAGCCCTTCAGTATCTAAGTATCAAGGACTGTGCGAGTCTACTTGAACTTCCCACTCTCCCATCACTTATGGAACTGAACATATCAAATTGCTCAGGCCTGGGAGCTACCAATCCCTATGTTCCCAGCCCTTCAGTATCTAAGTATCAAGGATTGTGCGAGTCTACTTGAACTTCCCACTCTCCCATCACTTATGGAACTGAACATATCAGATTGTTCAGGCCTGGGAGCTACAATCCCTATGTTCCCATCCCTTCAGTATCTAAGTATCAAGAACTGTGCGAGTCTACTTGAACTTCCCACTCTCCTATCACTTATGGAACTGAACATATCAAATTGCTAAGGCCTGGGAGCTATTATTCCTATGTCTCCAACCCTTTGCGAGCTAAGTATCAACAAATGTGCAAGTCTACTTGAACTTCCTACGATGGAATCACTTTGGAAACTCGAGATATCACACTGCCCAAGCCTACGTGCAGTTGGTCTTTTCCCAGAACTCAGTGTACTGAAACTGTCTGGTCCATTTAAAACTGAGGTGGTTGATAGTTGGCTGAGCTTCAACTCGCCACTCGAACACTTGGAGATTTATTCTTCTCCATTGGTGAGCATCCCGCTTAGGCCCCAGTATTTGACATCACTTGCTACCCTCAGATTATTATTCTGTTATGATCTGCAATACTGTGATGGACTTGTCAGTCTCACCTCGCTCAGAGAACTAAATGTAAAGGAGTGTCCCAAGCTCAATTTACATCGTTCGCTCCCATGCAATCTGCAAAAGTTTGAGCTTTATGGTAGATAGTTGTCTTGTTACATATCCACAAGGCTGATTGGTCTAGGCACTTATTTGGTTCATCAGAATGACCTTTGGGACACATGGACTAAGCAGGTAACTATCCCTTATTATAGTGCTACTGAAAATTTTGCCTACTTTTTAAATTTTAGTAGGCCGTGGTTAACTGTTTTTGCTTGTAACATTGCAAACACACTTAGGGCCTTTTCGAATTGCTACGAATGGCCTACCAATTTTCTGTTAGTTTGAATAATAATTATGGTTGGTTTGGATTGAAACCAGCTAGTTGATAATAGTCCATGTTATATTTGGCATCAATCTAGAATATTCATAACTATAATTTCTTGTGGTTCCATGTCAGTAGCAAATCAAATATGACCAAATACAGTCTTATCCTACCAGAGAACTGGCAGGGGGCACTACCAAAATATACTATCCAAATAGCCCCTTAATTACTGTAGGATCGAAACACAAGAACTAAGCCAACCAGACGCGGGGGGGGGGGGGGGGGGGAGGTGAATGGTTGGTATACCCAAAAACCCAAACTTATTGTGGAATTAAAAGTTACCCTCAAAATCAATGATCTGCAATCTGACCGGAATAGATTAACCGGTCTAACCGGTGTTGATCTTCCGGTCTAACCACCAAAACTTATCGCCGTCGCCTGTTGTCACCGCCGGTCTGACCGCTGCTACCTCGTCGGTCTGACCGTCGCCTTGCCATCGGTCTGACTGCCGGTGAGTTACCGGTTAGACCGCCAAACCCGATGAAACACAAATCGAATAACTCTAAAAGTAGATGATAACTTTATTGTTTCTCTCTGTGTTTACAAAGTGCACCAATAGCACTCCTTACAAAAATCTAGACTAAACGCGAAACCCTAACTAAACTATCAACTCTATTGCTCTCAAAAGCGATACCGGGAAGCCTCACCCTCCTTCTCTATTTATACATGAGGTAGGTAGCCTAAAGCCAAGAACCAAACACATACTAGAAGTCCTAATCCCCCTAGGAAACATTCACGTACAAGAAACAAACTTTACATAACCAATCATACCAAATTCGACTCCGCATCCCATACGCAGATAATACCTCCATCGTATGCCATATGGAATCTTCACCAACCACGTGCATTGAACTCTAGCCTAAGTATCCCGCATGATGTCTGACCGTCCCGGACATCGTCTTATCCCCAAGCCGACTCCCGATCGATCACTGTAAATACTCCCCCGAGGCATCAAGTCACCTACACATGAATCAAACAAAGAAACCATATTCCGAGACCAAGCTATCTCCAATTTGACTCATTAGTAGCAACCAACAGTATTACATACGTATAGAATCCATCTAGAAGCCATAAATATGAAACAAACATGAATATCCAAATAAACAACTCGAAAATGAAACCGACACAGTGTCGGCCGGTCTGACCGCGCGATACACGCCGGTCTGACCGGCAACTACTGCCCGGTCTGACCGGACCCAAATCAGCAGTACCAATAGATCACCTGTTAAAATCCAATCATCTCCAAAACCACTTCGCAAATAAATTCCAAATATAAAAACCAATAATCTCCAATGCCAATTGTTCATCACAGAATAATAATCAAAAACACCTTTGATTTTACAATCTTCCCCTTGATGAACACATTGGCAAACCCATAAAAAATGTTTTGGTGTTTAGAAAAATAAAAACAAAAGTGGTAAAAAGCACACTTTGTACAAATGTACACATCGTGCTCAAAAATCCAAAAGAAAACTTCTCTCATTTTTGAAAAGAAAGAAATTCCCCCTTGAACCAAAAAACATGTTCTCTTCTCAAAAACTCATTGTTTCTCCCCCTTTTGACAATGATTTCATCAATCATAGGAATTATATTCAATAATGTTCAAGAGTTTAGCATACATATAGCAAATCAAGTCATGTGTTGCAATAAAAAGAATATGAACCCATCTATAATATAGCAAGCATGCAGTAAAGTATAATCATGAACCAGAGATTTTACAATTAAGTTCAAATCAACAATCAAAATTCATGATTTCATACGATTTATAATGCAACATCTTAACAAGCACATAGGTTGAAAAACAAACACTAAACATATATACCTATTGCATTTATCACTCTTTCTCAAATTAGCTCTAGCACAAAACAACCAAGAGAATTTTTTGTTTTATTTTCCTTGAGACTTTTTGCTCATATTTTCTCTCTCAATTATTCCGAGTACGTCCTTGTCGTCAAGACTGTTTCCAAGGATTCGGCACCCATTATTTTTGCTCACATCGAATACGTCTTTGTCGTCAAGACTGTTTCCAAGGATTCGGTATTCATTTTTTTCTCTCAGAGATATTTTTATTCTCTTTGCACAATGAGCAATTACAAAGCTATTTGAGGAATAACAACTCAATAAAGCATATATATATAAAGCATTTATAAATCAAACCATATGCTAGCATCAATATTGCATATTTACTTAATTCAAGTATAGAATTTAAGTGTCATGCATTATCTCCCTTAAAAGCAAAATCTAAGCCTCATAAAAAGACTAGAATACATACAAGTTATGCTAGAGACAAATAAAACTTCATAGTATTGCTAGCATGCACAAGAAAATACCATATGTATAGAACAAAGCTCTCTTTTCTCAATTTTTCTTATTGTCAAATTTTGCTTGATAAAACCATGAGGTACAAAACTCCCCTCAAATTATGCCAAAAGGATGAATTATGCCCAATTCTCCACGAAGAAAAGCAAAGCGATTAGAATCCAAAGGTTTAGTGAAAATATCAGCAAGTTGCAACTTTGTATCCAAAAACATCAATTCAATGTCGCCCTTCTCAACATGATCCCTCAAAAAGTGAAAACGAATATCAATGTGCTTTGTGCGTGAGTGTTGAACAGGATTCTTAGCAATGTTAATAGC